TTAATTGAGGCCGGTTTTCAACAGCTTCCAATATTTCTTCTTCGGCCGCCAATGTTCTTTGTGTTCTTGTTCTCCCTCGATCTGCATTGACACTCTCAAATTTTCCATGGTCTTTTAGATGCTGAACAGTTGAAATAAACGTACGACAGTCCGGAATTCTCCGATTTGGAAACCGTTCGCGATACAGGATTTGTGCTTGCCGAGAATTTTCTCCAGCTGCCCCATAAACCAGCACTATATCCGTTAGTTCAATATTCGTAAATAGTGGCATCGTAAAAAAATATTTAAAAGTAATCGTAACAACACTTTTACCAACTTGGAAATGACGCGCTCGTGTTAGCCAGATTCGTAAATCAACTAATAGCCCAATCGGATTAGTATTTTAGATTCTGAAAAATTCGAAGCAGCAATTTTCCTTCGGAATTCGTTGGAGGGGGTCTCTGGTAGTCTAAATTCAAAAAGTTGGGATTCCAAAGTTGTCGTTACCTCCGCCATCTTGATTTAAAGGGTTATTTTTTGTATCTTGAATAACTCATTTATTTTCAATTTTACACGGAAAATAGTTTTTACAAAAGTTATTTAAAATTAAATTTCCTACAATTCTGCTTCTTTTTTTTGTACGATCGATTTTTTTCGATTTATACCCGAAAAGAGGGGGTGAATTTTTGGTTATAGAATAACTCGTTTATTTTCAATTTTACGAGAAAAATTGTTATAAACAAATTTGTTTAAAATTAAATTTCCTACAATTCTGCTTTTTTTTGTACGATCGATTTTTTTCGATTTATACCCGAAAAGGGGGGTGAATTTTTGGTTATAGAATAACTCGTTTATTTTCAATTTTACGAGAAAAATTGTTATAAACAAAATTGTTTAAAATTAAATTTCCTACAATTCTGCTTTTTTTTGTACGATCGATTTTTTTCGATTTATACCCGAAAAGGGGGGTGAATTTTTGGTTATAGAATAACTCGTTTATTTTCAATTTTACGAGAAAAATTGTTATAAACAATGTTGTTTAAAATTAAATTTCCTACAATTCTGCTTTTTTTTCGTACGATCGATTTTTTTCGATTCATACCCGAAAAGAGGGGGTGAATTTTTGGTTATAGAATAACTCGTTTATTTTCAATTTTACGAGAAAAATTGTTATAAACAATGTTTAAAATTAAATTTCCTACAATTCTGCTTTTTTTTGTACGATCGATTTTTTTCGATTTATACCCGAAAAGAGGGGGTGAATTTTTGGTTATAGAATAACTCGTTTATTTTCAATTTTACGAGAAAAATTGTTACAAACAAAGTTGTTTAAAATTAAATTTCCTACAATTCTGTTTTTTTTGTACGCTCGATTTTTTTGTATTTATCCCTGAGAAGAGTGGGGGTGAACCTAAGTATTGTATTGTCACGTTTATTATTGATGTTGTACCATTATTTTTTCTGTTTGTTTTTTTTTGCTGATTTTCAAAAATGTTATTTGGTACAATTCTGATTCCGATTTTTTCTAAGAGTTTACCCCCACTCTTCTCAGGGATAAATACAAAAAAATCGAGCGTACAAAAAAAACAGAATTGTAGGAAATTTAATTTTAAACAACTTTGTTTATAACAATTTTTCTCGTAAAATTGAAAATAAACGAGTTATTCTATAACCAAAAATTTACCCCCTCTTTTCGGGTATAAATCGAAAAAAATCGATCGTACAAAAAAAAAAGCAGAATTGTAGGAAATTTAATTTTAAATAACCTTGTTTATAACAATTTTTCTCGTAAAATTGAAAATAAACGAGTTATTCTATAACCAAAAATTCACCCCCTCTTTTCGGGTATAAATCGAAAAAAATCGATCGTACAAAAAAAAGCAGAATTGTAGGAAATTTAATTTTAAACATTGTTTATAACAATTTTTCTCGTAAAATTGAAAATAAACGAGTTATTCTATAACCAAAAATTCACCCCCTCTTTTCGGGTATAAATCGAAAAAAATCGATCGTACAAAAAAAAGCAGAATTGTAGGAAATTTAATTTTAAACAATTTTGTTTATAACAATTTTTCTCGTAAAATTGAAAATAAACGAGTTATTCTATAACCAAAAATTCACCCCCTCTTTTCGGGTATAAATCGAAAAAAATCGATCGTACAAAAAAAAGCAGAATTGTAGGAAATTTAATTTTAAACAATTTTGTTTATAACAATTTTTCTCGTAAAATTGAAAATAAACGAGTTATTCTATAACCAAAAATTCACCCCCTCTTTTCGGGTATAAATCGAAAAAAATCGATCGTACAAAAAAAAGCAGAATTGTAGGAAATTTAATTTTAAACAACTTTATAACAATTTTTCTCGTAAAATTGAAAATAATCGAGTTATTCTATAACCAAAAATTCACCCCCTCTTTTCGGATATAAATAAAAAAAAATCGATCGTACAAAAAAAAAGCAGAATTGTAGGAAATTTAATTTTAAATAACTTTTGTAAAAACTATTTTCCGTGTAAAATTGAAAATAAATAAGTTATTCAAGATACAAAAAATAACCCTTTAAATCAAGCTGGCGGAGGTAACGACAACTTTGGAATCCCAACTTTTTGAATTTAGACTACCACAGACCCCCTCCAACGAATTCCGAAGGAAAATTGCTGCTTCGAATTTTTCAGAATCTCAAGCCTGTTCTTCACCTAATCCGATTGGGCTATAAAATTTTAATAATCTATAGTTTCAAAAATGTATAGTTTAAAAACAATCATTTATCAAATATTCTAGTTTTTTGATAACGAGGGTAGTAAAAACCAGTCTTCGGAAATAGAAATTAATTCGAAAATCTTGGCAACATAGTTATTTCTTACAGGACTAGTTTTCATCTGACAAAAACTTGCATATTAATTACTGTTGATGTTTAAAATAGGTAAATAAACCTAATTTATATAGGTCATCCTCAACATATCAGTGAAGTACGTTTGTTTTAGAATTAATTTTCAAAAATTAATAACTCCCTTAATAAGGGGTATTTTTAAAAAATAATATTTTTCTACATTCAGTGGGGATCTGCGCAATACCCAGTTTTAATATGTACGTGTATTTCAATAACACCCTGTATAAATGGATTAAGAAAATAACAATGGTTACAAAGATATGAAATTTCTCAATAATTATTGTTAGGTGTAATACCAAAAATTATCCAAAAATATACCGTAATTGCTACACGAATTAAAAATATTGTAGTTAGTTATAGTAGAATAGATAGTATGGATTATTTGTTAAGTACTGCCAATAATTTTAAATTTTAATAAAAAAATATTTTGTGAACAAGAACAGTAGAAAGTTATGGTAGGATTATTTGTTAGGCATTGCCAATAATTTGGCATAATAATATTTTTTTTTAATAAACAATCTTATTTTAAAGTAAATAGCATTATTTTTATTTACTAAAATTCTTGAGTGCGAGACGGTAGGGGGCGAAACGGCGGGACCAAACAGTGGGGGCTAAATGCCGGGGGCGAAACCTAATACAACCGTGCTGTGCACCAGTCAGTTTAGTACTATTTTTTTTTTAAATAGATGTTAAATTAATTCAATATTAAACGAATATCAGACAATTCATGAATTAATTAGTATTTTAGTATGGCATTCGCATTGGGTTGATAAGCCATAAACTATGAGTAGCTGACACAACTAATGACCATTTTCAATACAATAAAAATAATGCAACTTCTGTAATCTATAGATATATAGTCCTGGAAGTAGTAGTTATGGTGACAGTATCATCCTGAATTTAGTCGTTTGTTTTTCGTTAATAATAAATATTTTACTGGCTATTTTTTGTTCTGGTAATATGTGGGTCGTTAATTTCTTGGACCTGTATAGTATTGATGAGAGCTAATATTTAAAAAGGACTGAGCATGTAATATTGTACTCTAAAAATGCCCAAGTATACCTTATCTAATATGAATGAATATTTTAACAAAAACCTTTTTGTTTGTTTTCAACTGCCCAATATGCATAGGTGTACCAAATTCTCCGTTGTAAAATATTTTATATTCTAAACATCGTATGCGTTTAAATTAAAATTAATTTAACTGTCCTAATACCTACTAAAAATACTTATTAAGTGGATATTCAAATTATGGATTTTAAATTAATTTTTTTCATAATTATTAAGGTTACAAAAATCATCCGTGTAAAAAAAATGGTGAAACGTTATTAAGATATTTTTCTGAAAGAAAAAGGTAATATAATTAATATAATATACAGTACGTTCATAAAGTACGAAAACGATTCATTATCTTATGAGTAAATTATTTTCGGAGTTAAAGATGGGACAGGTCAATTTTTAATTTTAGTTTTTCTACTTATTTTTCAAAAAAGTAATTTTTACTCCCATTACCTTACAAGATATGACGTCATGGATATTTTTTTAAATTAATGGTTATATTTTTATATCAAAAATTAAAAGCGCATATTCTTCTAAGCTCAACCATACGTCATATGTTTATCTTCATTTTCACTTTTAAAAGGCCTCCAAAGGGCCATTGCTAATAAACATTATTTACCTCCCACAAATTTAAAATAATACATATAATACAAAACAAAATTATATACTCTCTAAATTCCATACACATCAACAAAAATATCAGCTACTACAAACCAAATTACAACTCTTCATATCTCGACCATCTACACCACTGGTTTTAATAAAAAATTCTGTAATATAAAAAACAAGCACTGAAATGCCCAAAAGTTGAGGAAATTACTGACTTGTTTCTAAGGGACTGAAATTCATCACTTAGTTTGTTCTATTGGATACTAAATGTGGGGCTTGATATTTATTTTGTCTTCTTTCTCTTTATATTTAAAATTGCCTCAGAACAAACTTTGAACGAATCCTATACATTTGTTCAATTCATATTAAAACAAGAAATTTTGGTAATTGGACACTAACATACAAACCGCACTCAGATTTGAGTTTAGTTCGTTATTTTATCAGGACATTAAATCAAACTTACTGTGAACTCCGTATCCAACAATTAAAACTCCATGGTCAAGATCCTTCGGATTGCAAAGCGTTTTCCAGGGGTGAGAAACACCTCCCGCATAGAACTGCATGGCATTTGCGTTTATTGCAATCGAAATGGGTCCGTTTTGGGTCAACCATTTAGCCATATCGGTTTCATCGTGACTTATGTTTAAAGCTCCTGATAATTGGACGGCGACTTTGGCTTTGCTGAAATGACATTTTTCGTCTTCTGCGTCATAGGGATAGTCGCTTTCTAATTCTAGACCTCCTATTTTTTCTATGGTTCTAAAATTAAGAAAAAATAATTTAAATTTTACAAATATATATTTTTATTCAATGTTAGAAATGGTTAAGGTTTATAGTAAACAAATGCGCTTTTTAGCAGCAAAGCTACATATTATCACGAACCTTTTTTTATATTTTTAGGCGAAAGTGGAAGAAGCAGTACCGAAAATTAAAAAATTAGAAGCATCGAAAGATAAACATAATAAGTTGTGGGTAATGAGAAAGATATCCAAAACAGATAAGGAAAAAAAATTAAATAAAAAGTTAAACTAGTACACAAATAAATTGCAACACTATGTAACATAATGTGGGTAAAACTTGTCAAAGAATAACAAAACATAGAAGCATGGTCACTGATTATCTATCATTCTATTTAAATCAAACTAAAGTCATAATTTTGTGCGTTTTTTGCAATTATGTGTGAAATAATCAATTTGGTCAAATAATATTAAAAATAGTGTGCTATCTTAAATATATAACACATCTCTGTTATTTGTGATACAATTTTAATCAAATCGACGTCATGATTTGTGCGGTGTTTGTGAAAATTATATGTAAAAATCAATGTCGAACAAGTACTAGACTAATTTTGTTTACAAAAATCGAATTGCAAGTATTCACGTAGTTGTCAAATTATTATTGGTGGGTGCTGGAGTCTTGTTGCAAGGATTGTGTATGGTTATAATTTGGAATTAACTTAAGGCTCTAAAAAGCATAAGGCTTTAAAAATTACAATAAGGAAATATGTGTATTCTTAGTGCCAGTTATTATCCGTTTTATTTCCTTTTCTGGTTGAAACTATTATTAGAGTTGAAAGTGATTTACAGGAAAGTACTTCATTTATTTACAGTGTCACAACGGTGTAAAGCAGAAATCATAGTAGTACGAATTGTTTCATTCATAAAACATGTTCTCGCACCTCAGATAAACAAACTCGTACAAACCATCCACACCCAATTAGGCAACTGTCTCGCTTTTTCTAATGCTGCTGCCGATGCGACAGCTCTGTCTACCTAATATAAAATTGAATGCTTATGAATGAGGGCTTGATTATGAATGAATGGGTCAGTTTAGTAGTTTTTCATTATTGGTAAAAATAATCAATTTAGTCAAATGGTTTTTTTAACAAATTATTTTTTTTTGTTATTTAAAATATTACATAAATGCTCTGAACTTATTCTAAATCTTAAAAAAAACATTTCACAAACCAGAGAAAGACTATTGAAAATTACTTTGATTTTATCAAAAAATTAATTTATTTAATAGCCATACTTTTAATTTAATTTATTGCAAATTGATATACTTATTTTTTGCAATTATTAATGACAATTGTTTTTAAAAAAATCATAAACAGACGGTAAAGCATGTGTGTAATGAACGAAGATAGTAGTGTATAGTAGGTCTTTATTAGTTAGTTATTTGTAATTGTTAAAAAAATATATATATATTCTGCTCTTCCCGCCTCCTCTTAAAAACACTATACAATTTACGCAAAATTATGTCATTAGTTTTATTGAAATCGCATTACGTGTCTTTTTTTCCATCGTTGTTTCACCGATGCGACCTTGAACGCCTTGTTTTGGATTCGGTTTATTTATGATTGACCGTTGAAATAAATAACAGTTAACATTTTGGATTAAAATTTGTGTTTATAATTTTATTTGAATGTACCTACATATCTTAATTTGAAAGTATGTATTTTTAAAAGCCCATCTTTTCGATTTTTCCTAGCATAGAATAATTAAATAATTAACTCCTTAATTCTGCTTAATTTCCGCAATCCAGCTATCAGTTGTCACATCTAATCGGAAAAACCATACATGAAATTGATGGATTGGTGTTGCATCGACTGCAGCAACGATGGATAAAAAGACAGCGCTGTTAGTACATCATTGATAGATTGATGAAAAAAGACAGATACCGCACCGAGCCAACGTCGCTGCCACAGTTGGATAAAAAGACATACGTATAATAAATAACGACAGAGATACGAGTCATGCCCCTGATAACTGCCACTTAAAAAGAAAAATTGTAGGCCCCATATCATTTGCACAAAAAACGTACAAGATTATAGTTAGTTTGATTGAAATCGCATGATAAATAACAGAGTTGTCACAAAGTTTAATTACAAAAGAAAACTTTTTGATCAAATTGATTATTTTAGACAAAATTTTCACAAAAAAATACCTTCAAAATTATGAAGTTAGATTAAAATCGCATGAAGAATAACATAGTTGTGCTATTTTGGATTTCAGCCAGCACAATTTATAATTAATTAAAAAATATATAAATGTAAAAAGAAAATCTCTTCGTCCTTATTAGGACTCATCAGCAACAGCAGCATTAGATACTCTAATGAAGTCTGCTTGATATGTTACCTTCACTCGTATGCATTAAAGATGGTTGAGGAAGAATAGGTAGTGAACGAGTAAAAAATGGTAATGCCATCTACATTTAGGAAGCAAAATCAAAGCTCCCTAGAACCAGTCGGAATAATAGCCAAAACGGGCATTTATTAGAGGAAATTATTTCAGTTTCTCAAATGTGACCAATTTAAAAATAATTATAAAAGAAAAAGAGAAAATCTCTAAATCCGTGACACAGAAAAATGAAGCGACCATTTCCCTCCTGAAAACAACTGCTCCCTTGGCTAATACCGCAGCAGGCATTGCATTATATCGAGAGGAAAAGAGCAGCGATAGAAAATCATTTTCCGAATATCGAGGGCGAAACCTGAAAAGTGTTTAATCCCGCATTTTTATGAATTTCAATTTTAGTATCACCTATTAGCTAGCTGGGTAGTGGGTATATTATCTGTGCAGAAAATTGTGTATCATCCTTTCCTGCAGTTAATTGTTCCAAATTCGGAAATAAATCTACGCAACTTCAGACAACTGATATTTGTATAACAAAAAAAAGCAATTCTGCCTCAATTATTTATCTAAGATCTCTGCTAGTTCGGTAGTTTGCATAACTGATTCACAACGATGTCACAAAACACTCATTAAAAAAAATTGTTTTTTGCATCTCCTGTAAAATTTATTAAAATGGAGTCAAACCCTGTTTTGAGTTTCGATATGTTGTGCTAACTTTATATAACTGTCAAAGGACAAAAAACAGCTATGATGTAAGGAATAAAAAATAAATGTAATGGCATATGAATTAGATATAAATGAATAACTGTCAAAGGACAAAAAACAGCTATGATGTAAGGAATAAAAAATAAATGTAATGGCATATGAATTAGATATAAATGAAAAAGAGCAGAAAGTGGTCAAGTGTTACTGGATGATTTTTAGATGGATTTTTTACCTGTATGCATTGTCCATCAATCCGCCATTGCATCCTTCATCTAGCTTATCACAATCTACCAATTCTTGTTCGGAAAATTCTTTTAATTTCTTATACTTAATGGCGTATTGGCCTTCAACGTTGCCAGTGGTACTAAATGCCCAGCAACTTCCGCACGATCCTTGATCTTTTACCTCTGTTACGGCATTTTTATCGCGCCAATCGAATGATGTAGGAAGTTCGATATCAGGAATTTCAGCTTCAGGAAAGGGAATCTCATTTTCGTTCTGGAGATCCATGCGTAACCCATGAAGCTGAGAGAATTCTTTGGGGGTGAGATCGGCAAATTTGGTTACAGTGTAATGAGCGGTACCTGATAAAATTAATAAAAATTGTATCATCAATATATCAGAAGTTGTAAGAATATTACTGCAATATTTTTTTATGTTATTAATCATTATTTATTTTTACCTTTTTCATATTTGTTTAGCAAGTGAATACGCCTCAGGTTATCCTTAAAAACTTTTAAACGATGAACATACTCCATTCTGTTTGTATATTCCTTTCCAAATGTATCCACGAAATCCATAAATTTGATCTCAGCAATTACATCTTCATCCAATCCTAAGAAAGTGACAAATGTTTCATACATTTTCCCAATTTTTGGATATTAAACGCTTCCCGAAAGTAATGGACTTTGATAGATAAATAAGGAAACATTTTTAAACCTCGAAATTTCCAATATTTGAATTTGGATAGCTCCAGAAATAATAGCTATTTGTGTATTAAGAGCGAAAAGTGATACTTTGCCGCTTGAGACATAAAGTTGGTCGCGCGACGTGTAGCAGAACGCAGGCAATCTGTCGAAAGTGGCAACGAACTTTTCGCTCAAAAAATGCAATAAGATTTTTTCTACAATCACATTTTTTTTTTAAGAAATTGATATAACAACTGAAAATTTGTCGTAAGTAATGTATAACGGATTGCCTATTTATATCTACTTTAATAATGAAAACAAAAGTTGATTTTCAAAGTCAATGTTAACTTGGATAGTAAAAAAAAACGTGCAAAAATAACTTGAAAATCATTTATTAAAATAACTATTTATGCAATCAGTTACAAAATTCAGTGAATATATGCAGGACAAGCAGATGAACGAGGTCCCGTAACATTTCGTAACGTGTTACATACAATATGTTTTCTAATTTTGACTAGATTATTTATAAAATTGTGTTTTGGTAAAATATTACTAACATTTAGGTAACTAATATTAATTTCTTGTATTTTTAGTTGTAGTTGCATATACATGACTTCACTCATTTCATTGAGAAACAGAAAATCATTAATTTATTTTCAACGACTTGTAGTGTGTTTAAATTGCTTGTTAAAGTTATTTAGTTTTCCAGGCAGTGGGTTATTTTGTCGTGTATTGCGTTTGAATTATTTTGTGTTTAGAATAGAAACTAAGGACCAAAAAAAAACATTATTACTAGGTTGTAAGTTTAACCAAATTCTATTTTTATAAGTCAACCTTTGATAAAAACTTTCAATAACAGTGCATAATATCGTGGGCTTATGAGTAAAAAGCATTCAGTCAAAAAATAGGTTTATGAGTTATGAGCAATTTAAAGTTTCAATGACGTTCTAATTTTTTTATAAATTGTTTAGGGTCGGTTTTTCAATGTCCAGTCAAAGTGGCTGTTACGTAGCCGACAGCTATATCTTAGCTGGCAGTCAAAGTCCCTGTTACCGATGGAACATGGATGGAAGTGTTTTTCATCACGAATTTAACTGCTAGCTGCGTAGTCTAATAGTTTTTATTTATTCTTAGACAGGTTGGCATTTCTGCTAATTTGTTAAATGGTTTTTATTGGATAATTTAAATTTTCCACTTTACATATCGTGTCTTGTGTTGATCGTCACCGACCTTCACATAAAAATTGTTCTATTTACTTTTGTTATTTTCTGTTTTTGGGCAATTGATGATTTAGAAAAAAGAGAAAATATCTAATTATGCGGCATCAGATAGAGCCCTACTATTGAAATTTGCTTATCTTACAGAATGTAAAAAAAAACGGAAAATGCAATATCACGGAAACAAAATGAGAAGGTTGCAGAAAAATCTAAAATTTAATAATAAAATTCAGTTCATCGATATCGAAATAAATGGGCCGTTCCCTCACAATACACGGATTACACGGTCATCATTTGTTCATATTCAATAATTTATTCTTTGGCATCGTAGCTGTGAATGTATTCAAAGAAATCCATTTTTGAGAAATAATAAAATTAATAAAAATATTAACCTCTAAATTTGACAAACATCGTCCTACACATGTACAATAAATAGCTGGCGGCTATCCTGTACGAAATTGCCACTTGCAAGTGTCGGTTACGGTTAAAGTCAGAATAGCTGATCGTATGTATAACTGGAGGTCGAGAAACGTTTTGACAGGCAGTGGCTGACGGCTATCTCCGTAGCTGCCAGCTATCCTAAATAGCCGGAGATTGAAAAACCGGCCCTTAGTGATTATTAACTGTCTCAAAAAAATGTACATGCTTTCGGAATACAATGCACTGTTTTTACATGATATACAAAAATATAAACCCATTTTGACAAATTTTTGACTTAGTGTCTTTTGCTTGTAAGCCCACTATATATGGATTTTAAAACAAAATGATTCATTTTTCTTTTCTCAACTGGTGACACAATGAATTTTTTGTTACCAGTTTCATAATGTTCAAAATTATGTAAGTGGTTACTCGCTAGAATGTTTCGACATTCCACTGGTGCGTTTTGCGTGGTAAAAGAACATATGAATGTAAGGAATTATATAGTAAAAGCTTGGAGTTGCTGCATAAATTAGGCGAAAAAAAAAACAATACTTTTTTCATATTAAACTATTCATCACCTTATGCAGAACACTAGTCAAATTATGTTGGATAGAGAGAAAGAAATAGCCGAAAATGTGAAAATCGGTTTATTTTTGAGTTCTATGAAATTTACTATTAATATACAGGGCAAATCCTAAGTTGATACTCTTTTTAGCTGTGTATAAATGTCATTAAAATAAACAACTTTTCAAAAAAAATCAAAATTAAGAAACATATTAATATATCCAAAGAGGGGCGTGCGGTCCATGGAAGCGAGGGAAGCACCGCTTCCCCAGACTTTGAGATTAAAAACAGATATTTTTCAGTTTACAATGCGTAGAAATTAATATTAAATTAGGTACTATATTTTCTCTAAAACATTACGTAAACTTCGTAAATGTACTAACAATTTATTGGTGTAATGTGTAAACGCACGCACCACCCATGAGAAAATTAATTGTGTCCGTCGGCGGAAGCGCGTTTTAAAAAAGTCGGTTCATCTTCCAAAAGGTTTCGCTTCGTGTTATTGACCCTTCTTTCCGCGACAGTGGTCAGTCCGTTTGAAAACATAAAATACGGTCGAGAGGCAGCGATTTTTACGTCGCCTTACGCATATTGCAATTCGCACCGCGAATCGACGTGTGAGGAAAATCGTAGATTTCGGTTTGTTTTTCGTAGTTGTTTTTCTTTTTGTAAAATGGAGGAACTATGCACTGTGCCTGTGAACAATAATAATGTGGTAAATTGTGTCTGTATTGTGTGCTCTTTGTTGAAAAAAGGATTTTCAAGTAGAAATTTTGAAGAGAAAACGGACATTATTAATTCTAGTAGACTAAAGGATCCTATCAATTTAGAGACGAAAGTAGAAAAGTCAGCAAAGAAATTTACCAGGCATTTTCACGTAGGGTTCTATGAAAAGTATGAATGATTAACCGGCTGCAAAACTTGAAGAAATTGTTTTGCTGGCCTTGCCTTCTTTTTAATATAGCCGAAAAAACACATTGAAACTCGGTATTAGAGACTTGAATAATTTTCACAAAATTGTAAACGACATGTAAATAGCAAATCTCATAAGTGCTACAATTAAAGAAAAACATTCAGGACCTATCGCATTGAACATAGTTTGGTTAATCATTTAAAAATAAGCAACAAAATTCACAATGAAAGGGTAAAAAAATAGGGACGTCTTACAACGATTAATAGATGTAACTTGTTTCCTGGGAGAGCATGAACTAAGTTTTAGGGGTCACAATGAAGCAAGTGGATCCGCCAATCGAGAAAATTACATGGACCTTCCAAGTTTTTTAGCAAAATACGATGATACCCTAAACAATCATTTTATTGATTCGACGACTTTCCGAGGTACCTCAAACAGAATCCAAAATGATTTAATTAAATGCACTGTCGACGTTGTGATGGATCACATTAAAAGTGAAATTAAAAAAGCACCTTTCGTATCAATTGAGCTTGATGAAACCACAGATGTAGCAAACTTAAGTCAATTATCCATTGTTGTGCGATATTAGACGGTCATATTTTAACAGCGTAATCTACATCCTAAAATAGGAGTAAAAGTTCATGTAAACATAGGTCCGAAAACGTTTCGTTTTCGAGATACAGGGTGTTACAAATGAAGTTCTGATGGCACATTTTTGTAAATATTTTCTAAAATTTCCATTAGTCACCGGTTTTCCAAAGTAAAAAAAAAAAATAAAATTTTTGATTGCACAGACACTAATTATTGTTTACACTTTTGAATAACTTATCATGAAATTTTCAAATGCTTTTTTCTTGAAAATGGTGCCTCCCAGCGAGATGCAACAATAGTAGCTTTATTATAAAGAAAACATTGGTTTTTCAAATTTTATAGTCAAAAATGTTAAAACTCTGAACAAAAAAAAAATTTAGGGCAATTTTACCCCAAGCCCCCCCTAATTTACCCACCTATGAAGATGATCAAAAACTGAGGTTTAGTCCATTAAATAGAGCGTAAAAAGTTGAGCATTTGTACCAAATTTTACTTAGTTATCTTTAAACGTTTAGAAAATATTTACAAAAGTGTGTCGTCATCAGGACTTCACTTTTAACACCCTGTATCTCAGAAAAGAAACGTTTCCGGACCTATGTCTATATGAACTTTTACTTCTATTTTAGGATGTAGATTACGCTGTTAAAATATGACCGTCTAATTTCGGGACACCCTGTATATTCGATGGCATTCCTCAAGAGCGATTCTTAGACTTTTAGCGAACGAACTGCAGATGCATTGTTTAAAATTGTTTGTGACATTATTTCAAGTTTAGAATGTGGTTCTAAGCTTGTTTCCCAGAGCTACGATGGTGCTGCCGTAATGGCTGGCCATTTAGGAGACCTTCAAGCTAAAGTGAAAGAGAAGTTTAACCATGCAATTTTCGTTCACTGTATAGTACATAGACTTAATTTGGTTTTATCGCGAAGCATGGATAATATTTAAGATTGCAAAGTTTACTTTTCGACGCTTAGTGGTTTGGCTTCCTTCTTTTCAAAGTCATCGAAAAGAACTCGCGCAAAAGTTGCTCCGACGCGATGGAACTACAATGGACGTTTAGTGCAAACAGTGTTTCAATACCGTGATTCTCTGATACACTTTTTTCAAGACGTTAGGGATAATAAAGAAACATGGGATGCTGAAACTGTTACTGCCGCTAAAGGGTATTTGCATTGGCTCAAAAAAAACTTTAATTTCAATTTTTTGTTCAACATTTTTGCAGATTTTCCATTTTGCTGACTTTTGAATCGACATTTTACAGACAAAGTTAAATAACATTGGCTTTTGCATTAAACAAATTGACGATTTTAAAAATAAAATGAATAAAAAACGAGATCAGTTTGAACACTTTTGGAAAGGGACTCAAAACATTGGCTTAGAACCTGAAATAAAGATAATTAGCATTGATAATGTCGGCGACAGAGACCTCCTATCGTCGATTATACGCCGACATTTTTGATAATATTTTACAACAAATGAACTCTCTATTTCAAAACTTTAACGAATTAAAATTTGTTGAATTGTGCAATTTTAATATTAGTAACTACGATTCATCAAAATTTCCATCGAAAGCTTTTAATTCACTAAAATTAAATTATGGATTTTTTTCGATATTCCAGCATTAAAGTCCCAGCTAAGTGTTGTTTATGAAACAACTGAAATTAGTGATAAAAAGACGCCCATCAATGTGTTAAATTTTCTTGTAACAACTGGTTTAAATAAGTCCCTTTGTGAAGTTGTGTGCATTAGTACTAACCATCCCAGCCACAAGTGCGTCAGTTGAGCAAAGTTTTTCAGCTTTAAAGCGCATTAAAAGTTTTATACGATATTCAACAAGTGAATACAGACTCTCTAATTTAGCCTTAATATCCATTGAAAAACAGCTTGTTAAACAGTTATCAGAAAATCCAAAATTTTACGACGATGTTATAGACAAATTTGCAACCATTGAGGATAGGCGAATAGATCTTAAGTATAAATAAATGTCAACTGATGTGTCAACTGTGCGAAAAATGCTGGAAAAAATAAAAAAACTTCAGTTAAATGTTTTTTTTTACGTTTAAATAAACCAAGGAAGCTTTTCAATGGTAAGTTTTTTTATAGCTTCTAGTACTAAACTAGGTAATAAAGTAATAGTAGTAACACTTCAAAAATCTCAATCTCGAATATCCGTAGTACTGAGGAAAAAGCAAGATTTTGACAAAATGATGAATGCGCCGCTAAAAATTTTCGCCTGCGGCTCTGTGCTTATTGGCCTGCTGTATTTTTATACAATCGCTTCCCCTTCCAAAAATGTCACCGCACGCCACTGTATCCAAAAGGTATCTTACTTAAATAATGTGTAGAACTTTATTCATGCAGTTGTAAGGACCATTCACAAAACTGAACTCTGTGGGAAAATCTTCAAGTTGTCCACACTGTTCTTTAACTTACTCCCTCCTGATCTACAATCACAGGCACATTTAAAATGCGTTTTTCTACATACACTTCATTTTCAATTTACCATACTGAACAATGTAGATACTAATTCAGATAAACATGTTATTGAAATCGCACACGACTGTATTACAATAATCGGTACACAATGAATCTTCATAAAAAAAAAAACAGAGAAAAAAGATAAAAACATAAATATCGACTTATTATTTATCGTAGGGTGCGATTACAATTAGAAGAACACAGCTACGTCATCATTTGGCAACGTAATTAATTGGTTATCGCCGCCTAATGGGGGTTTAGTGGAGCGTTAATATTATAGAAATATAGTTTTACACCTAACAACTTACTTAATTTTTGTTTATTGAAAGTTATAGATAATATGCATTCAAAATTCGAAGTAATGGTTTTATGACGTAGCTGTGTTCTTCTAATTGTAATCGGTCCCTAACACAGTTGAATCATTATCTACTTAGGATTCACCCTGTAAAATTGACCTTTATTTATCAAAACACTATCAAATTACCTTTTGTGGCAGTTGTTGTCATGTAAAAAGTTTTGTTTCTCTTCAACTGTACAGAAATGAGAAAAATTACATGTTTACTTACTTATTTCTCTCTTGGCTCTAAAAGAAAGTTTGCCAGATTCACAAGTCATATTAGTCTGTGTACCATTTGGCAGCCATGGTTGACTCCAAATTTTAAAATCACAAATTTGCTCATGAGGATCTTGATGTGTACCACAAGTTTCAAGATCGACATCTTTACCTTTTTCACAGTCTGAAAGGACTACCTTAGCTTTAACTCTATAAAGAGCTCCACTCACAACCTAAAAAAATGGTAATGAATAGAATAGATGTGTGTTAGGTTCAGAATTTTAATATCTTACTTGTGAAGTGGCAGATAAAACTTCTTTGATCTTATATCTGGTCGTATGAGCAGATTGAGAGTCCAATTGCAATAGACCTTTTTCCAAAAAACTCTTTAATTTGGGACTATCTTTTGCAGTTGGTTGAATACCACCCGCAAGTTGTCGTTTAAATCTGTCTTTTCCACAAACTATTTTATCAATCGTTGAACCATTGATGTTATCTGCTACAGTTATAAAAGCACTACATTCTTCGACTTCATGGTCTTTCTCTACCAACAGATCTACTTTGTAATGGGTTTCGTCCAAAACTACTTTTGATTTACCAACTACATCAATATTTGCTGAATTCAGTTGTTTACGAATGATATCAATTAGATCATTGTCAATTTGTTGCTCATTCTGTAAAAAGACACAATTTAATATAATTTTGGTGCAAAATTTGTTTCATTTTTTACATGTTAATTTTTATCACTTGTATAATATATTTATTTTATTGTACAGTCGACGCAATCCGAATGTGAACGCACTTTGGTTGTCATGGAAAAAAAGTATATTACTCTTATTAGTATCGTTTTGTCCAATCGGTCTTGTCTACATTAAAGGTGCAATAAAAAAAATTTAAAAGAGTAATAAACTGCAAAAACAGTTTATTGTAATAGAAAATCAAAGGATATAGCAAAATTAAATTAACATTTGAACATATAAAACTATGGAAAACATTATTTAATACAAGAGAAAATCAAAGGTTATAGCAACATTGGACGAAAATTGGTCTTTAAGTGAAATGTGTGCTAAATTAAGTGTCAGTAAAATTTGCATATTTGTGTTAATAATTTACAGAAGTATATTTCAAAATTACGAGGTTTGAGAATTTTGTAATTACACTGAAGCAGAAAAAATTAAAATCCACTAACCTTGTCTGAATCTTTAATTAACCTTTGGACTTTGACATTACTTGCCTGTTCCTTTTTATGTCTGTCATTATTCTCGGAACTACTGCTGCTGGAATCGTCATTGATTTTATTCTTCTCATGTGACGATGAGGATGATGACGATGAACTACTGGAACTTGAATTGGAACTGCCACCGAGATTTTCTTTTTTTAATTTGCCTTTATCTTTGTTTGATGAGCTGCTAGATGAACTACTGCTGCTACTTGCATCTTTCACTTCTCTTACAAATCTTCGTTGTATTATCACTTCGGGTTCTTGACCTGCATAATCTACTTCATAATAATTAATAGGTGCTTCTTGAGGAATTTCATTAGTACTCAATGAATGTTTGTTTTGGTTTAACTCTTGCTCAGGAATAATTTGAGATTCTAGTTCTGCCATAAAATCGGGTTCTAAATCTCTGTGAACTGGTTTTTTAGTTGTATTTACAGGGTCTTCCACTTTGTAATTTTGTGAACTTGTACAATTATTTTTGATAATAAGAGAGCTGTGTTCCCAAGGTTTTTCCCAATATTCAACTTCGCAAATTAAGCTTTCTTTACTTTGATCTACAGGGCAAGTAAGTAAATCAACATTCTTTGAGCATATTGTTGGGGCAATTTCAATTAGTAGGATGTATTTTATACCAGCTACTACCTAAAGGAGTGGACAAATATAAAAACAAGGAAACCATCACTTTCTTCTAACATACCTGTTGTTGCACCCTTAGAACTCTGAGCAGAATATGTTTTTCATTGTGTTCACTCTCAACATGTTTCAAAGCTGCCGATACTAAGCCGTTTACACCTGCGGCGTGTATATCAATGTCCAAAGGGCATCCTAAACAAGGTCTATTATATTGCTAAAAAAACGTAGTCTCTAATGATATTGAACCTATTCTGTATCTTTTTTAATTAAGAAACATTCAAATAATGAAAGCGTTATTAGAAAGGTTTCATATTTAAATTTTAATCATGGATACATCATGGGAGTATTACCTTTAGAATTAAAAGTCAATTTGAATCAGATATCTATTACTTACAGTTGGCTTTTGAGGTATTTCTTCATTTTGATTAGCAATTTTCTTTAATTCCTCTATGGGTTCTCTGTGGACTACTGGGTTTGTTTCTTTTACCTCATCGAAGTGTGGTTCTTGAGGAGCACACACTACTCCAGCAACATTCCAGATATCTCCATCTGGCGCTTTTCGAAAAATACTGTCGCATCTTATGATGCCTCCTGTACAAGGATGATTACAGGATGTTTCAATATCAGCGGTAACTTCTAATTTGTTAGCCTTAAAAAAATGACTTTTGAGATCTTTTTGTAATAAAGCTATTTGAACTAATTAAATATTTTTTTATAACTGGATTATTGTAACTAAACTTAGTTGAACTTTTATGACATGAGGAATATGAGATTATTTTATTTATAAAGAGTGGTTCACAAAAAATGTTTTTAAAGTAGGCCGTAACCGACAAAGACAGAGATACGAGTCATGTCAGTGATATCTAAGCAAGCGATCTGATTTGGTTTTTGGTTGTCTTCTGTATTATACATACTTATTCCTTAGAAACGATTTATAAAAATTAGAGACAATAGACAAACATGTTGGAAGTATGAAGTACCATATCATAAAGAGTAAGAAGCATTTAATAGGAGGTACTGTCATCTATAGTCAAGAAAATAGATTTCAAAAACGTACCCGTTTTTAAAAAGAATGTCAAGAATAGCGAATCGCTCGCAAAAGCGTATACGTTTTTTAGAAAACGATAGCAGAGGATAGGGCCCCAGAGCAAATTTGGCTACAATCCAGCGGCTTGCATGACTCGCCATCACTATATCAACGTCATCCACACCGACGGGAGCTATGTTGGACCTAACCCCTCTCCACATTTTGCTGGAAAGGGAGGTCAGGCTGGTCTCCTATAGACTCTAGAAGAAATGGGATGGGACAAAATGGGACTGATGAGTGAGATTAATAACCATCCTCGGCATTGTCTATAAAGATCTTTTTAGATAGCCAGGCAGCCTTCAACGCTCTGAGCCCCAATCGAGTTGACTCAAAGTTAATTTAGAACTAAATAAATACACGTGAGTATCTCGGGGCCCGGAACAAAGTTACTTTCATCTGGTTACCGGGTGAAGGTCAATGAAACAGCCGACGGGTTCGCTAAAAGAGAAACCGAATCTAAGTTCATAGGAAGGCAGCCTTCAAGGCCCTGAGCCCCAATCAAGTTGACTCAAAGTTGATTTAGAACTGTATTTGAATACCCTTGAGTGCCTCGGAGTCCGGTACAAAGTTACTTTAATCTGGGGTCCGGGCCACAGCGGTGTGGAGGGCAATGAAACAACCAACGCACTCTCTAAAAGAAGAAACAAATCTGAGTTTATAAAACCAGAACTATTCCGGGGCACTACAAAGAGTACTAGCAAAGGAATTATCTCAAAATGGATGGGCGGTGTAACACTCACGAAGTAGGCGTTTATACCCATCCCTTTCATGAACCTCTCTGTTCAGATCCAGGAATGGAGTAGGAAAGATCTACGCATTTTCGCGAAACCGATGACAGGATATTGTTGTCTAGGTAAACACATGTCTGCAACAAACATAGGACTGTCGATTCTGCAGCGAACCTATGAACCTACTCCGCTTTGGAATGAACTAGGTTGCAGATCTTCAAATTCGCCCAGCTGGAGCCTACATACTTTAATCAGGTCTGTGTGTGTGTGTGTGTGTGTGTGTGTGTGTGTGTGTGTGTGTGTGTGTGTGTGTGTGTCTGTGTGTGTGTGTGTGTGTGTGTGTGTGTCTGTGTGTGCGTGTGCGTGCGTGTGCGTGCGCGTGGGCGTGCGCGTGCGGTTGCGTTTGCGTATGCGTATGCGTGTGCGTGTGCGTGTGCGTGTGCGTGTGAGTGTGCGTGCGGGTGTGCGTGCGGGTGTGTGCGTGGGCGTGCGCGTGCGGTTGCGTATGCGTATGCGTGTGCGTGGGAGTGTGCGTGCGGGTGTGTGTGTGTGTGTGTGTGTGTGTGTGTGTGTGTGTGTGTGTGTGTGTGTGTGTGTGTGTGTGTGTGTGTGCGTGCGTGTGTGTGCGTGCGTGGGCGTGCGTGCGTGCGCGTGCGTGCGCGTGCGTGTGTGTGTGTGTGTGTGTGTGTGTGTGTGTGTGTGTGTGTGTGGGTGTGTGGGTGTGTGGGTGTGTGGGTGTGTGGGTGTGTGGGTGTGTGTGTGTGTGTGTGTGGTGTGTGTGTGTGGGTGTGTGTGTGGGTGTGTGGGTGTGTGTGTGTGTGGGTGTGTGTGTGGGTGTGTGTGTGGGTGTGTGTGTGTGTGGGTGTGTGTGTGGGTGGGTGGGTGCGTGGGTGGGTGCGTGGGTGGGTGCGTGGGTGGGTGCGTGGGTGGGTGCGTGGGTGGGTGCGTGGGTGGGTGCGTGCGTGGGTGGGTGCGTGCGTGGGTGGGTGCGTGGGTGGGTGCGTGCGTGGGTGGGTGCGTGCGTGGGTGGGTGCGTGCGTGGGTGGGTGCGTGGGTGGGTGCGTGCGTGCGTGCGTGGGTGCGTGGGTGCGTGCGTGGGTGCGTGCGTGGGTGCGTGCGTGCGTGTGTGTGTGTGTGTGTGTGTGTGTGTGTGTGTGTGCGTGGGTGCGTGCGTGTGTTCAGAGATACTTTTTACTACGTTGTCCGATTTATAATTCTTTTTTTTATAGTAAGGGGGTACCTCAGGGGTGGTCCCCTTATAAATTTGGTCAAGATCTAATGGAGTTCATCAGTAAATCATCAAATTTTTAATTTTTTATGCATTTTCAGCGATAATCTTTACCACGTTTTTCGATTTCTATGATTATTTTTTTGTTAGAAAAGGGATACCTCAAGGTCAAGGATCAAAAATCTCAATTTTTAAGGAACCACATTATTTTTATTGATGGTAAACTTAACAGTCAAACATATTAAGATTTAATTCAAAATCAACTTATTTTCTCTTTATTTAATTAGAAAGAATAATATACCCCACAAAAGTTCATTCATGACTAAATTGGAACTTTCTTTGAGCTCACAGGAGAGGTGGTAGGTGTACACAAAGTAGAGATAGATATTCTCTCATAATGTTTTCCTCATCTGTATGTTGATTTTACTAAAGCATTGCTTTATGTAAGTGGCACTACTACACAGGTATTTAATTTTAAAAATAAAAAATGGATAGGTGGCATACTGTGATACAACTTTTCTGTGAGAATGAGGGACTAAAATTTACTTATAAAGTTCAACATATTCAAAAAATATTGTAGAATTTTTAATAATAAAATATTTAGTAAACTTTTGATGAGCATGAGATCATTGAAATATTATCTATATAAAGAATTACAAAAGGTTATCTCTAGAAAAAGTTTGACCTTTTACAACAATAAAATAAGTTTTTTGATGAATATTATTTTTTGATAAATATATTTTTTGTTAAAAATAATGTTTTTCATGAACTAATTGAGTTATATTTTGCAACAAGGCACTCATTTATACTGCAATACGTAGATTTAGTTCTTGAACTCATTAAATTATCTCTTGTTTATTTATTGTTTATTAACTGATAAGAACAAAGATATTTTTATAAAATATATTCTCTATAGTCAAAATAATAAACTATAATTTTAATATTGTCATATAATTTCTAAATAAAAACTAAATTAGTAATAAGTTTTAACATAAACATCTAATAGCCTCTTAATTTTAATTAGGTAAGTTATTGTAGAAATTTTCCCAAAAGTCAATACGTTATATTATACAGATTAGGGAAAAAGTATACAAGCCATAATGGGCACTAAGAGTGAAGAACCATCTCTATATACTTACTTTATATAAAACGCCTACCACCTCTTCTGCCAGTCCTGCCTCCTGAGAGCTCAAGAAAAAAAAAAGTTCCAATTTATTATTGTTCTTTCTAATTAAATAAAGACAATATTTACGTAATTCCCCTGATTCTATAATTAAGATTTACTTGTAAGTGAAAAATAATAACTAAATTCTGAATTAAATCTAAATATTTTTCACTGTTTAGTTTACCATCAATAATGTGGCCCCTTAAAATATCAGGGCAAAAATTTAATTTCCGAGGATACTGTGTGCATGTGGGAATACTCAAATGTTTATTTTCCTGAGAACAATGTCTCACTATGGATGAATTATGTTTGTTAGTTTGTTGTGCATTGAAAAAGTTGAGTCGTCAGTAAATAAAATTTATTTTAAAGATTTCATTTTGATTGTACCGATTCGTCATAATTTCGCAAAACTCCATCTGTCTGATATTATTCTACCAAAATTAAAAAAATACAAAGTAACAAAATTATGCTATACTTATTGTGATGTTCACCGATTCGATTGTTATGCGTTCCGACGTGTTACGAATATTAGCCTGCAATAATAGAGATGGGCGTACCTATACCGTATGGCTCGTATATTTTTCCTAACAAGTATGATTCGACAATTATTACAATAAAAAATTATAAAAAAAGAATAGAGTTTAGGAATATCTGAAAGAATATTGAGAAACACTTTGGGACCAAAATTCAGGAAATACTACAATTACTAACAGCAGATTTTTAAATGGTAAGGTCATGTCTGGAGAAGTAAATAAAAATTATGTTGTGATTGGAATCAGTAGGAAATAGAAGACGAGGTAGACCAAGATTAACGTGGATATGAAGTGAAATAAGAATAAGATCTAAATAAGACTTTTTACCTATAATACTGAACTAATATTGCAACAAAACTGTTTATTTCCCATGTATCAAGGGCGGATAGATACAGAATGAATTTTTGGCCATTAGCCATTCCCTTTTCAGCATATTTTTTTAATAAGAAGCTCATGGATTGTAAGAATTTTAACCCTGAGGTTCGCCATGGCGCCCTTTCGAAATCCGCCCTTGCCTTGTATACTGCTAATAATATAATATTTACGTTTTTATTACAAGGCAAAAGTTGTAACTTATGTTGCCAGAATAATATTGTATTTCTTATTATAAGGCAAAATTTGTAACTTGTTTGTTCTTACGGTGAGTACAGCATCCCCTTATAATTTTCTGACAAGCATATCTCAAAAAGTAATTTTTTTTAAATTTTGGCAAAATAAATTAGGCAATAATATCTAGAATATGCTTATATTTTAAAGTTTTAATTATTTTCAGTTTCCAAGAAAAAAAATCAAAGGGCTTTAAATTTTGAAATATCACAATGAAAATAAATGCATTCCTCAACAACAGTATTCTTAATATAATCCCCAAATTTAAGCTCTTAATCTCTTGTTAATGATTTTTTAAAATTCGCAGAAATTAGTGGCTAAAACGCCTTTGTTAAGTGCTGCTTTCTGGTGTAACGCGACTGTAACGATCGTATCGTACACTCTCAGTCATCATTCATTTCTTGCAATGATTTACACCAGTTTACACCACACAACTAAAACTTTAAAATATATGCATATTTTAGATATTATTGCCTCATTGATTTTGCCAAAAAGTTTAACTTTTTAAAAAAATACTAAGTATTTTTTCCCAATATTTTGCTAAATCAAATCTTACAAAATCCATTGTGCGCTTGCAAAACTGATTAAATTTCAAATCTTTTTGGTCATTGTCTAGTTTGAGCTCTTTTCGGTTATGAATAAACTAAGCATATGTACTTGTAGATATCACTATTGTAAACATTCCATGTCTTGTGCAAATTAATATTAATGACACAATTAATTTGTTTCAATAAAAATATTTCACAAATTGACTCAAATCAAATCTCAGAGATACTAAGTTTAGGTCTTATACTGTTGCCAAATAGCACAAAAAGTTTACCATTAAATTATTTTTAAGTATTAACAGTACAGCAATTCATTTCTAATAATTTTCCTTTACCTAACAATATTTTATAATATAACTATTGACGTTTTTTTCCCAACCGGCACCCCTACTGCTCTCGCCCTTTCCCATAAAATTGATAAAATTAATGGAAAAAATGGCAATTTTTATTTAAAAAAATTTGTGTCTATTATTCATTGTCATAAGATATGGAATTTATGTTTTTGTTTGCAATAATACCTACATATGCTTGGGTTTTCTGTAATTGTAAAGAGCTCAAAATAGACATTTTCATATTTTTGCTATATTTGGTGTTCTGCCTGCCAAAAAGTTTAAATAGGTTGTCAACGTTCTCTTAGAATAGTCTTTAAGTACCTTATGTATTACCAGATTCAAAACTGGTGTAATTATGAATTTCTAGGCTTTTCCTTAATACTGAGAAATCACTCCTCATATTATGTAGAGATACAAGAGTGACATATAGATACAATTTATAGAAGTAAACAATAAAAGTTTTTGATATTTACGTAAAAAATTAAGACATTTAGTAATAGTAACTCTTAATTACAATTATTATATTTACCTTTAAAAAGGAATGGACGACACTGCCACTTGTATAAGAATAAAATTTATTATGTTCACCTAAATATTTCAAAATTGCGGAGATAATATCATTATTAACATCACCATTAATTTCGCGGGGTTCTTCATCTCCTTGTATAGCCCCAGTAAGGCATACTAAAAGCAGTAAAAACTGCTTTAAATACAACATGTCTTTGGTACAGATCACTTCCACCTGCAACAGTTGTATAAAACAGTATGACGCAAATCTTTACTTTATTGAAAAGTTGTTTATTACTTTCAGAATCACAAATCACAACATGACCTCTTTATCTGTAATCATCTGCAAATAAAGAATAAACAATTTCTTATTTCTTAACCTTTGTCTTACACGTTTCTAAGAATGATTCAATCAATGCATTAATGCATCATTTCTATAATGTGTACACGTCTAGAATAATTTTTTAAAATTTGCATTTAAATCATTTTAGAACCGTTTTATTAGTCACATGTTTATTTATATTTTTTAAATTGTTTATTTTTACGCCACCTTCTGTCAGTGTCAGTGTCTAATGTCATTCAGTGTCATTCAAGGACGAAATTCGCATCAAAATCGAATAAAATAAAAAAATCACAAACCACAGGATTAGTCATACATAATCGATTTCTTTGGATAAAAATTAAGAAACCTCCATTTCGGTTGACTCATATTACTTAAAATTTATTTAAAAAAATATAATTTAAATATAATTTTTAAACGATTCGATATAAAATAAAAAAAATCGTTCAATTCGGGATACTCCCGAGACTTCGAGAAGTCCCGTGACGAATTATTATCGATTCATTCATTAAATAAAATGTAGAATACTTTATCGATACAAAATAGTTTACATTAGTTGTTGAAAGATGGCAATAGTCACGAGATTTGGCATCAAAATATTAAAATTTAAAATGGTCATGGTTATTATCTGTCAGTTTATTAACAATTCAGTTGTTTTTGATTTTTTTACATTTCATTCATTCTGCTTTTCGCATTCATAAATTTTTTGTGTCGTTTCCATTTTCATTTCGGGAAACCACTAAATTATGGGTCTTTTTGTGCGTTGAGGTGAGTAATTTTTATTCTATTTTTAATATTAGAAATTTTCTTTTCACTTATCCATAGAAATAGATACCAGAAAGTAGGAGACAGTTATAATAGAATCGCAATCGACACGGAGTAATAAATCTGTCAGATATTTCAGGTGTGGGTGCCTATATTATTATTTAGGGGATACATAAAATAATCATTTAAAAATATATTTTTTTGAATATGTACCTATTATTGAGTATTTTTTCGGTATGTAGGTTCTTTACAAAATGTTTTGGTAATTATTGCGAAGACACCCTTTTCTTTAAAATACATATTTTTTTTACAAAACTTACATTTTAGTCTTTAGAAGGAGAGTATTTTTCAAATATACCAACGGAAACTCCATAAATTAACGTTTTTTTTAAAATTTTTACATATTAAAGGCTTATGAGGATCATTAAGTGATCATTTGTGTAAACTTATTCATTAGAACTTAGAATTATATATGTTATGCCCTGGCCGCGTTTGAAAATCCACATCGGATGCATTTTTTACATCTCGAGCGTTTTTTTATCCACATCGGACACATCTGTCCCATTACATTTACCTCAGGCATTCCAACGACCTGTCCAAATCAATGAACTTTTATTGTCATTTCAGTTTTCGCATTCTCGACATAAGCGGTGGAATATTTTCCAATGAGAAGTATGGGAAAATATTCCCCTGCTTACGAGCATTGGAAATTGTGTTTTCCAATGGGAATTGTACTAGAGTTTGCGCATTAAAGTCGAAAATTTGACGAAAGACCACGCGAAAGTCTAAGACATAACCAAATATTATTGGATATCTTGGATTTTTAGTGAAATTGTAGTTATTGATATTATTTTATTTATGTAGGTAATTTATTTTTATTTTCTTTCACTAAGAAACTGTATAAACTGATTTTCCTAAATCATTTAGAAATTGTGAGAGCTGCGAAGGGACTGGCAAATAACACAAATTGAGTGTAGTTAAATTTAATAAGACCGTTTCGAAAATTTTATTATTTTCGTTAATGAAAGAATTTCTTAGTTTCTCAAAACTTTCGTTGCTCTTCCATACAAAAGCTACCTTTTCTTTTTTCAACATGAGAAAAGAAAAACTAAGAATAACTCGACAAGTTTTAACTATTATACGTAATCGAATATTTTCACTTGTTCCTCGATCATGATAGCGATTGCTCGGCACGGCATCTGCTCCAGCGCGGAGGCTCGGCAGGTAATCGGATACCCAAAAACCACAACAAATACAAATAATGCCAACAGTAAATTTTAAAATATCTTTAATGTTATTGGTTGTTTTGAAATATTCGTGGACTTAATATCAGACATACGTGAAACTACTAGAGTTAATGCAAGTTCACTTAAGGTCAGTCACTATTAGTGCCGCTCTTATTTTGACATCTGAGCATCCGTAGATCACTAACTTTAATAAAGATTGTGCCTGTCCTTAATAAGAGAGTTATTGCAAGTTCACTTAGGGTCAGTCACTATTAGTGCCGCTCTTATTTTGACATCTAAGCATGCGCAGATGTTTATGTTCTAAAACTGACTTTATTAAGGATTGTGCCTGTCCTTAATTGTGGATGTTTAAGGGCAGCAGGTAGTGGCGACTTTATACCTTTCGGATGCGCTCGTCATTTAAACCTTCCAAAATTATAATTTCTAATGCCTCTTTAATATTAGGTACTATTATAGAATTTATTTGACTCTAATTACGATGTCACTGTTAGTGGCTGGCTTTATAGAAATTTGCAATATCTCTCTATTAAGGACAGGCACAATCTTTATTAAAGTTAGTGATCTGCGCATGCTCAGATGTCAAAATAAGAGCGGCACTAATAGTGACTGACCTTAAGTGAACTTGCAATAACTCTCTACTATTTCCATGGGAATGTCTATTCCGACAAGTTCGAGAATTGCATAACCTATTACCATGGGAATATAAGTAGTGAAATATTTTCCCATGTGGATCAGTGTTCAATCCACCAGCTTGTGGATTGAACAATAACAATGTGAAACAGAAAATGGTTATTATAAATACTCCCGAGTGAGATGAGAAATAAAAATGGCTGCGCCCATAGAGTCGCATCTTGTTTTATTGATATAATATGCACATTGGCTTTCTACCCCACTCCAGTTCATTGATGGAGATCAGCGGGTATCTGTAGGAATGTGTCAAAAATGTCAAATGTCAATTTTCTGATCGGTGATTAATCAGTTTTACACGTAATATTTCTTGTTTGTTTCTGTTATAACCATCTTCTATTTAATTAAAATTATTTTTTACAGTCTATAGACACACACACAAGTGTATTCAAGTGCAAACTATCACTAGTGTCATATGACATTCCCCTTGTGTTCGTCTTGGGATTCTAAAAAGAGTTAACTCTGTCTATGACGTCACGCACTCCGTGCGCGCTCTGTGCGATCCGTCGAGTTCCAAACCGAACTTACCCTACGTGTTTACTACATCTCAGGGGGTTAATTTTTGAATCATTCGCCACCCTGACGTATGCGAAAACGTATACTTTTACATAAACTGTATTTTTGACTTACTCGATTCGTTTTCGCATGCGAAATTGACGTCACTTGCGAATAGGCATTTAATAGGTTTTGCAATGACATGACGTTTATTGATCTCGGTAAAGAAGTTTCATACTAGGTTTCTATTGGTAGATCATCGAATTTTGCTGAAATAATCTACAACTCTTCGTTAGGTTGATCTGTTTATTTATCGAAGAGTATTCAAAAATATACTTTCCTTGACGCATGCGATAAATGTCATATGCCAATTGACGCATACGACTTTTAGCGAATGATTCAAAAATTAACCCCCAGATGCATCCCCGGCACATACTTTGATTTTCTTTACTATACGGAGCAAGAGAGGTCCGACACGCCCAACATATGGCGCGGCCATTTTGATTCCTATGCTACAGTTTATAGCTAAAGAATCAGATCGCTCACTCTGCGTCGGCACTTTTGATCTCAATGTTTCAGTTTATACACTGCGCAACTCGGATAATACAATATATGACAACCGCCTATAATAAAACCAATGAACTGGAGTGGGGTAGAATGCTTGTCAATAGGCTTGAGATGCGACTCTATGGGCGAAGACAGGTTATTTTTCATCTCACTCGGGAGTATTTATAACAACCATTTTCTATTTCACTTTGTTATTGTCTGATCCACCAGCTTGTGGATTGAACAATAACAATGTGAAACAGAAAATGGTTATTATAAATACTCCCGAGTGAGATGAGAAATAAAAATGGCCGCGCCCATAGAGTCGCATCTTGTTCTATTGATACAATATGCACATTGGCTTTCTACCCCACTCCAGTTCATTGAATAAAACAGCAGTCTTCTGCGTATCCTGAATTTGTATCCCTGGAATGGATGTTATTTTGGAACTTTCAACTGGTCCGAGTGAGCTAACTGATTCTTTAGCAATAAACTGTGACTCCAAAAATAATATTCACTGACACTGACAGCAGCAAGCAAAATATTAGGTGCGTTTTAAGCATCCGCTTCTGCTTCCGGAATTGTCGGTTTAGTCGTTTTAACCTGTCAGATTAAAACAAGAAAACCGACAATTCCGAAGCAGACCCAGACAGCACATCTAATCCTTTGGATATCTACTGAACATCCCAATCTCCACTGAATGTCCAGTCCATGGTAGATATCTATTTTATATCCATGAAATGTAATTTATAGACATGCAAATGTCCATAAATAATAGTAATTATATAGCAAATTATTAAAAAATTACGCCATTGTGGCTAATAGTACCGTTCAGATATTTAAAATTAATTTTTTTTTACGGTGTATTCAATATCCCATGAACATCCACTAAATATATCAAAGTCTAGGCGCGAACGCAAACCATCGTGGATATCCACTAGATGTCATTTGATTCTGCTTACTAAGTATAGATGGCGATACCACTATCGCATCTACTCATGCTCGACCCGCCGTAATTGAGTTCCATCGAAATTTGTGTCCTAATCACTCCATTAGAGACTGGAATCGAGAATTTTCATTCTCCGTATAGTAAAAGAAAATCAAAGTATGTGATCCCCGGTGAATGATATTTTGATGCATCCGATGTGGATTATCAAACATGGCATATGGGCATCTGTCAATACAAATTAGTGCGCCGTGTTGCAAAGTGCCCAACTAAAAGAAATATAAAAAAATACCTTATTTTTGCCATAACATTTCCATACTCCTTAAAAATCCGTTCTATTAATTTATTTCCGGTCACACTCAATGATTTCTTTATCTATTTTGATTGAATTGTTGTAATACGATATTTTTAAATATTAATATTACGTCATCTATAAAATAAACAATTAGGCATTCCAACGACCTGTCAAACAATAGGTGCCAGTGGGAAATTTTTGTATATTTAAGGGGGTAGCGACATAGTCTTGCAACTTGGACGCTATTTTTATTCGAAGTAGTACTTGCCAAGCCTGCCAATTTATGAAGAAATGTATAGGTGGGTTTTTTAAATATTATTTTTATTGTGTTTGACATAAAATATTTAAATGTAATCCATTATTCATGATTTTACGTATAGTAGATAGAATACACCATATGTCGCCACCCTTAGATATACCAAACCTGCCCACTGGTAATTCATTTGTTTGGAATGCCTAATACCTAGTTTGACAGATCGATTTTACGTTCGATTTATATACGTATCATGGAGGAAGGATAACAATACTTTTCGAAAACGTTGAAACATAATTACTTTAAGGTATTTTTCGCAGAATAAACCAACGTGAACTTTTATGATAGATTTTGTTATTTAGACCCATCAGACATGTCTCAATAACATAATCTATCATAAACGTTCGTGTTGGTTTATGCCGCGAAAAATACCTTTTTGTGTTATCCATAAGTTTTTAAAAAACTTTGCGACCAAGTGAAATTATTTATTTATTAGTCGAAATTTATATACAGAGTATACAAAAAGTAACTTAA